GGCTGTTGGGAGGGGGGTGTAAGTGCAAATGGGCCAAGCCGGGGTCCGGCACCAAAAATCCTATTCATGGCACTGGCACTGATTTGCTGGGGCCTTGGGCGAGTCACTTAATCGTGCTGTGCCTCAGTTTCCCTAGCTCTGTGCCTCAGTTTCCCCACCTCTAAAGCAGGCTGCATCGGAAGTTCTTGGCTGGAGGGTGCGGCGGTGCAGCATCTCACTAGAGCTAGTGCGTGGGTCCCATTGGAAGACCCTGCTTCGTTGCAGATCCTAGTTTGTGGGAACAGGGTGTTGCTTTCTCACATCCCTCGGCATTTGCCGTGGGAGCAGCAGTGGCTCCGGAAGGCACCCCGCACAGCCCTGGGGTTACAGGGGGGCAAGAGACAGAGGGCAGCGCAGTCCTGGGGCTGAACACATGGAGGGGTCGTACCCCAGGACGCTGGCTGCTTGCAGTTTTGAGATGTCTCGCTGGGCCGTGATCCTTCTCTCTCATTGTGTGGGGCATTACATTGGCTCCTCTGCACGTCAGCCCCCTAAAACGTGGGAACTGCCGTGGACTGGGCTGCAGAGCCCTGGGGGTTCCCATCTCTCTGCTCCGGGGCCTGCCCGGCACCCCCTGCCTTTCCCAAAAGGCCCTGGAAAAAGCCGGGGTCTCCATGTTTCCTTTCTCCCTGCACTGTCGGACGCTGCCACTGGAGGGAGTAGCCCATGTTGTACCGTGTCATATTGGTTTTGAATGTCCACACGACCTCCTTCTCGTGTCGGTGGTGGCCAGCTGTCCAGCCTCTTGCGTAACACCAGAGGGAACATCCCCAAACAATGCCTAGGCCAGATCTCGGAGAAAAACGTCCAGTCTCGATTTAAAAATTACCAGTGCTGAAGAATCCACCGCCACCCTGGGTCCACTAGTGGGTGGTTAATTGCTCTCCCTGTTCAAAACCGGATGCCTCATTTCCAGCGGGAATCTGTCTAGCTTCAGCTGCCAGCCACTGGATGGAGTTACACCGTTCCCCGCTGGATAGAGAACGTATTAAATATTTGGTCCTCATCCTCTAAGCAAGGCATCCCTTGAGGTCACATATTGAGACCTAACCGTTAGCCGATTTTTAATCCATGTAACGTCTGCCCTGTAATCTTATACCCGTCTGCTTCTTTTAATCAAAATGTCCTGCTGTCAGTTACCTTGCAGAAGTCTCAGAGGGGTAGCTGTATTCCTTGCTTTTAAAGTTACAGACCAGTAGTCCTGAGCCACCTTGGGAGACTAACCGAAATATGTGGACTCAGAAGTTTTCGTGGGCAAAACCCACTTCCTCAGATGAATTGGAGTGGAAATAACAGAAACTGAGAGAGAGAGAGAGAGAGAGATCAACAGCAGAAGAAGTACCTGTCAATAGGACTGGTGTTAATGAGGCTAATTAAGTGGGCTGGACGTGTCCCATACATAGCTTTTGATGTGGAAATGCAGATATTAAAGGCAGGAGAAATTGCCTCTTTATTATGTCAACCCTATTCCCGTTATTTACCAAATTTGGTAATCTCATCCAAAAAAGCTATCATTTGACAGGGCCTATTTTCCATAAGCCTATGTGTTGTTTCGCCTTAATTACATCCTCCTTCTTTAATTCTTTATTGAAGGCTGTATTAGCTACTCCATTATCTTGTCAGGCTGGGAGGCTTAGATTTATCCAGGGCATGCCATTTACCCCTTTACAAAAATGTCACTTGGCCTTTCTTTCTATCTTCCAGAACTTCCCCGGTGCTTCAAGAATGTACTGTGAAACAAAATGAACTGTCCACTTAGCTCCTTGGTCAGCTCTTTTTAAACTCTTGGATGATCTCAGGGTCCGCTGATTTAAAATGTCTGACTTGAGATGTTTCTGTTGAACGTGTTCCAGAGATGCCAGTGACCTGGACAGAGGGCTATCATTACCATATGAGAAAACAGTATCATCTGTTTTCCCAAATTACAGAAAGGAAAATTAATTAACATTC